TACTGGATTTAAAAGAAAACAAAGCAACAAACCATTTTCTATATGATGAATCGAATCAAAAGGTACCACTAAAACTCTCAACGAGTTGAATCGGTGCATTGTAATGGAAACTGTTTTTTTGAAACCCAAGGCCTACTCAATTGCTTACAAAGATTGCGAAAACTCAAAAATCAAACAAAATGCTAAGGTAATGAACAGAACAGTGAAGACAACTCTTCGTGAAGACCAATCAGTCGATGACTTGCATTTCGAAGACACATCTGCGTGTAGCTATGATGACTCCAGCCGGTCAGAATCATCTTCAAGGGACATTGAATGTTAAGTCAGTTTCGTTCTTCTGATCAAGGAGTTTGGCAGATAGCGTCAATCAACAGTGATGGATATGATGTAGTTGACTGGGAAACGCATGTTCAGGAGAAACAAAATTTCAACAATCCATACATAGACAGTGAGGCAAATGGAGACAACGCCGAGCCACTTAGAAGTCAAAATGAGCAACATAAACTTTCGGATTCACAATACAAGCCCGCTTTATAGCTGCAGGTTTTCTATATCATCAATCTATAATCTCATTTTGCAGCTGCTGAAAAGCAAAGACAACCCGTCACTTTCAATAGGTTAAACTTGAAATTCATGTGTGAGAAACTGATGCTTTTTGTTGTTAAAAAGTTACTTTGAAATTTTAAAAAATAATTGTTTCAGTTCACTTTCTTCACTTACATTTTCTTGCTGAGTCAGAACAAGCTAGCATTCTCACAAGTTTGACTTTTTCCGAGTCGATTTTTTGCTTTAAAAAATCACTTAGCTGGAAATTTTTGATCGCACTTTTTTTGTTTGATACAAACAAATCGTGACATTCAACCACCTTGAATTTTTTGTTTTGCGGCTTCATTTTAGTCTCCGATGAACAACTATGAACATGTTTGAACATGAACACTATTCTGTGCGCCAAAAAGAAGCTTTTTTTCAAAATGTCAAAATGTGGGAAGCCCTATTTGACGGGATGATTACTTATTTAACTACTCGTAAGCGAGAATTTAATTTTCCATAATGCGCTTAGGCAAGCAAGTTGATCCTTATATTACTTTACCAGACGCAAATTTTATCAGTTTTCACTTAACGTAGCGGGTTTGGGATATAATGTTTTTAAAAATTGAAAAAAAAAATCCTTTTGTTGTTCTGAGACAATTTTCAAACCTACATTTTTTGCATTGGAGTTAAATTTTAGCCAACATTTTTGAAGTTTCGCAAGAAAAATTATTTATTCCAAAAAAAAGAATATTTTAACTGCCAAAATTAGCAATCTGCTGAAAAATTTATCCCCTACTTTGCGGTATTTGACTTTGCTCTTAATCAGATGTATGGAACCAAAAATTGTTCATTTTTTCTTCATTCAGTAGAATCGTTAGTTTCCTTAATTATCCTAAGCCCAGAGACACTAGATCACATGAAAGCAAAATTTCTGCAAAAATTTAAAAATCATGCGTAGATAACAAGATATGATAATTTATCACATTCAACGAAATTCTGTCTTTAACTGGCACACAACGCATAAACCAAACCAGCAAAACACGAAGTTTTAATTTCTTTTTTCAAAAAAATTGGTGGCTTCACAATCGAGGTTGTAAAGCAGTGTTGTGATCAACACTGCTGAATTCTCTAAGCAGTTTTGCTCGATAACTGTAGAAATTGACCGATGATGAATAAGATCAGCATTTTGAGCAGAGATTCGGATCTGACAATTGATAACTTCTTTAGACTTGTTTAGTTACGCTAACCGCTGATTTCAAAATATCTCTTGTAAAATTGTTCCAAACTTTCAATGCACACCGAACATATGTTTGTTGTGCATTCTGGCAAATTCAACAGGTTTCCGTTGGCGCTAGAAAATAACATGTCAGCATTAATTAGTGGATATTTCACTAAGTAACTACTCGAAAGTAGTAGAACTTTTCCAAAAACCCAGTCAAAACCCCCTGTAAGCACTGTCAACCATGTCATCTAGCATGCTAAACATCTTGCTTCTCCTTGTAAATGCCTGCAACACTTGCATTAATCTCGCAAGAAAAGTGGAATTAAGTCCGGGGCAGCTTGCTCTTAGAGTAATTTCGGATAAGGTACACCGTCTGTTCTTCACACTATCTATTTTCGGCCGGATAGATTCCTGCAATTTCTTAGTCTAAAACCGATCCTAATCTTACTCTTATATTTCCTAGTCTCGATAGATCTAGCATATACTGGTATTGTTGCGAGGTGGTTAAAATTGAGGAAGATCAAGTTAAATTTATTCTTTTCTGGCTGAAACTATAAATAATTTCAGCCTTACAAATTATTGTAAGTTTTAGTCATGGATTATGATTGGTTAGTTCTAAGTTTTTTACAGTGATAGTTATCAAGAATATAATTGGATATTTTATGTACTTGTTTTGAGCTGGTTCCAAAAGGTAAGGTGATTATATTTTTGTATGTAATTTTTTCAAAAGAGTTTAGCAAATATCAGCGTCCCCATAGCACAAGGACAGACGCGTTTCAATTGAAATCTGCTTTTGCAAAAATTCTAAGCGTTCTTCACGAAAAACCATTTACAATATGGTTTACTTATTTCGCCAAATTGGAAGACAGTAGCTGTCAGCTAAGTTGAAAATTTTTTGCCGATAGGGTCCAACTCTTAAACAAAACAGGTAAACTAAACAAAATCAATTTTTGCTTCCCTTTCGAATCAAATCATTAATGCTATTCATATGCTGAAGTTTTGCTATTATTCAAATTGTTTTTGATAATTTAATTCGTTTCGTCAATTTTTGAACAATTTTTCTCACAATTCAAAAGATCAAAATTGAAACTTTTCAAAATTTTTTTGCTCTAATAGATTGCTTCAAACAAATTCAAAAGTCAACAGTTCAGACTGGTTTGATAGTTGCTTTTTTGGTTGATTTTTTCGCTAAATGAAATAAACTATCAAAACAAAAGAAATGTTTCTGTTGTTGCATATTTGGCTCAGTTTTAGGTAGTTCAAATTACTCTGATAGCTAAAAGTTTTTCGCAAGAAATGAATAATTTGTTTTTCAAAATCAGCTTAAGAATAGCCTTCGTGAAAGAAACAGTTTTTTTATTAGCTTCAATCTATGAAAACAGTTTCTTATGAACAGTATTTCAACAACTGTTTAACAGATTTCGAAAAGCTTCAAATCTTCAAAAAAAAAGGATACTCAAAAGCTTGCTTTAAAAGTTAATATTTTTGAAAAATAACCGCGTCCAGGAACCAATCAACCAATCAACCTTAAACTTTCAAGTTCCTCTTTTGATAACTATGCCTGAATAGTGCAATATGTCGCAACTGCTTCAGTCTATTCGAATATATCCTTATTGCATCTTTTGAATAAGTTGCTTAAAAAAAGTTTTATCTACTTCAAGCTATCAAAACAATTGTTTTTTTTTAATCAAGTTTGATTAGGCTAAAATTTCTGTCAATAGCAAGTTGAAGGTTTACAAAGCTTCATTGTTCATCATAAATTGGTTAATGAATGTTTTTCAAAGCATAATTAATTTTTTGAGATTCAATTGAAGCTATGAGAAACGACTAAAAATGTACCAAAATCTCACCGTTTGAAAATTTTTCTAGATTTTATTTCGGTTTTCCGCAATATTTGAACTTTTAAATCACGAACTGTCAGTAGTCAGTCAACACATTCAAACTAAAAAATTACTGGTAGTTTATCATTGGGAAGTGTTTTTCACTTGGAGAAAAATGGTTATGATTTTTTTGTTCGTTTTTTAGACTAAATAACACGCTTTTCTCGAATGACAAAATAACAGGTTTAACTGTCAACTCAAATTTTAGTTTTCTAAATTATTCCTAGCCATTATCTTTTTTTATTTATGTAGTTCATCAAAAAAATGTCTTTCAAGTAGTTGAACATAAAAAATCTGCAGCAAAAAATGAATAAAAGTAGGAAAGAATTACAATGACTTTTTATTATTTCCCCATTAGTTTTGATCCTTCTCAAGTTTTAACCAGTCAACTATAATGTTTGGAACATTCGGTGCCATTTGCCCTCCTCTCTCTCTCTCTCTTTCTCAGGGATTCGACCCCCTGCCGATCCAAAGGGTCCCCCTTTGGTATTTTTTTTAGAAACCCTTTTTCAGCCGACCGACAGGGAGTCGAAGCAGAAAAAGCGAGGAAAATTTGTAGATCTTCAGTAAAAACATTCATTTCTCGAACCTAACAACAACAGCTGGTTGCAGTGCAAATTTTGCACTAACAACAACGTACCAAAGTTTTTTCAGTCTTGGGTGAATGGTGAGAAAAATCGTTTGAAAATTTGGCTTTTTAGTCTAATTTTGAACGAGTGATTCTAACTTCCTAATGAAATTTGCTTTGAAACACTAGTTCATTTTCAATTTTCCTTACATGCTAATAATTACCATGTTTTCAAACAGCTCAGTCAGTTTTTACAAAACATTAACTGTAAGTTAAGCAAAATATGAAAAAAAAATTCGATTTATGCTTTAAAAAAATGTGAACGATACATTTTGTACAACATTTACAGCAACTGGCAATCATTGTGTTCATTTGATTTAATTTTACGTCTTGCTTTCTTATTCATTTACGGGTTATCCGCAAAGTCTTTTCAAACTTTTGTATAGTTTGAAACAAAATTTTTTTATTCAATACTGATCAATACAAATTTTGACTCACTAGGTCCGACGACCGACTTGAGTAAATGATTTTTGGCACAATGTTTGTGTTTTCTACTTAATGATCCCGAGTTTAGTTACAAGGGATCATTAAGTAGAAAACGCAAACATTGTGCCAAAAATCACTTACTCAAGTCGGTCGTCGAACCTAGTGAGTCATAATTTGTATTGACCAGTGAGTCATTGTATTGTCATAATTTGTATTGATCATAGTTGTATTAGATTGATAAGTTCTGAATTTTCGTGGAAATTTTGAATAAGGTTATAATTGGTTTAGTTCAGATAAGAAGTATCAAAATTACCCGTCTCTGGTCTCCAAACTGAATGTTCTTTGATAAAGATGTACTCGTTTCCTCCGTATTCCCCTGGGTCCCACTTGGCCGACTCCGAAAAATACTGAATTAGAATCTCGAAGGATATTGTCCATGAATTCTTCTTTTCGTCCACTTCCACAATCTGCTTCAAGCCCAGGGAAAATACCACTTCGTTGTTATGAATGTCATCTGGTGGGAAGTATTCCGGCATTTTGCTTTTTATTTTGTGTACTAACTTGTCCTCCTTAAATTTTAAAGATTCTGCATCTTTCGACAAACTAGTATGCTTCGCAAGAATAATCAAGTAACATAAAGTTAGGGCAATTGGTCTCATTATAAGAGTTCGGAAATGATGCTTTTGTGAAGAGTTGAGTTTTAATTCGGTCTGAAATATGGACAAAACGTTGATCCTAAAACTGAAAAACTGTAGAAACAAACAAGAAACAAATGCCACATAATGCGCTTAAGATTTCGTCATAGTTTCAAAATTAAAATTATGTGAAGAATTGGGCATGTGTATTTGAAGTTGCTCTTTAAATTTCTCATCCAAAAATTTCAATTGAACTTTTGTTCCGCCATATCGCGTAGTAAGTGCTAATGAGCCATGGGCATAGAAAAGAATTTCCCTATAATTTATGCTACCTAATTAAGTTAGAATACGCTCGAGAGTGGTAATAAATTAAAGCTTCTTATTTATAAATGTGATTCACAAAAAAAAAACGTATTTTGCGAGAATTTTTGCGTTGACGAAAAAATTGCGCGTTTTTACTCAAATTCAAAACAAGGATCCCAGAGTCAACCTCAGCAGGGCGGCCGTTATTTTAATGTTTTTTTCCCCAATCAACCTTGTTTTTTCGCTATATAAAACAAATTCAGCTTTAGTTTTTTTTGAAACAATCGGTAGAAAAGTATTTGCAATTTTTTCTATATCAAAATTTTCAATTTAATATATATTGTTTTTTCATTGGTCAGAACATAAGCTACAATTCATAAGTACGATAGCAAAACCAAAAACAACAAAATAGCCTGACATATGTTTTCAATATCTAAAAATTACGACCATTGGACGGCATGAATCAATTTGAGTAACGTAATTTGAGATCCCAACAGGGATTTGAGTTGAAAAAAATAGATAGAGCACAAGGCTAGATATCATTGCTCCAACTCTTTTTGTTTATAAATTCAATAGTGAAGTTAGTAATTGAAAATTAGTAGCTGAAATGATTATGCCTCTATTGGTAGAATTTTTGATTTTAACTCCATGGTCCCTGGTCGAGGTCGTGGTTTTATGTTCAGACCGTGTGGACCAGAATTTAGCATGTTCAGACCATTGGGACTAGAATGTGGTATGTTCAGACCGCATGGACCAGAAAATACGATGTCCAGATTTTGCAGACTTATTTTGAGACTTTGCAGACTTATGTTCAGACTTTAAAGACTTATGTTTAGACTTTGCAGACTTCGACCTCTGTGGCGACTATGAATTTTCTGTCCCCACGCGGATCGATTCAGACTTTGCATACTTAAGTTCAGGCTTTGCATACTTATGTTCAGACTTTGCAGACTTATGTTCAGACTTAGCAGATTTATGTTCAGACTTTGCAGACTTATGTTCAGACTTTGCAGACTTTGACCTGCGTGGCGACTATGAATTTTCGCTCCCTTCACGGATCGATTCAGACTTATTAAGTCTGAACATAAAACCATAACCTCGACACGGGGTGGCTTTCTCATTCAGTAATTTCGGATAAGGTTCACCGTCTGTTCGTCACGCTATCTTATTTTCGGCCGGATACGTTCGTGTAACTTTTCGTGTAATCCTAATCATACTCTTACATCTTATAGTCTCATTAGATCTAGAGTATACTGGTTTTGTTGCGAGGTAGTTCGAATCGAGGAAGAGCAACTGTTTGCTAAGTTAAATATATTCTTCTCTGGCTTCTCGGGTAGGTATAAACAGATTTGGCAGCTTTTGGCCGAACGAAAATTTTGTCTGCACTTTCGACTATTGCCGTATTTTTTTGTGGCCGATCATTCTTTCTACGTCCATTTGGCCCTGGGCTGGATCATGCTCAGCCGCTTGAAACATGTTCAGTAAATAGGTTCCTTTCGCAATTAATTCGACTGCAGTGACTTTCACTGGTCCGGGAAAATTTTTCATTTCCATAGTTGCTTGTTGGTTAATTAATTTTACCGAGTTTGTTTCAGTGATGAGTTGTTATTATTCACCCATTTTTACTAATTTTTCACGGTTTTAGTCTGTTTTAATGTTTTGTTTTACATGCTTTTTAGTATTTTCTAACTTGGATGTTTTTCAAATTCATTTCCATCAAGTTTTGTTTCAAATATTTGCTCATCCTATTTTTCACTGTCATCACTGCTTTTGATTTGTGTCATTATTTCAGCGTTTTTTTGTTTCATGTAACCTATTAATTCTTTAATTTGAGGTTCAAAAAAAAACATTTCATCCAATTTTCATCTGGGTTTAGTTTGGTTTGATTACCGCGATACTTGCCTTTACATGCGGTTCGTTTTGTGGTATTAGTATTCTGCGTTGGCGAGTTTAAGCTTAGTTTTCATTCCTTCCAACCGAGTTAGGAGAAAATTTCATAACGTGTAAAAAGAAGTTAAAGTTGTTTTCAATTATTTTGTCGAACAAAAAAAACCATTTTCTAAAACGATTTCATAGTGGCGAGTTACGTTGAGTTC